ATTGGGCCCTGAACGGTGCTGATTTTACACTGTTTTCAACGGGGCTTGAATTAGTGGACTGGACCCATAGGCCAAAATGGCGAGGTAACCTGTGCAAAGATGGCGACGTATGGCTCTGGAGTGCACCCCTGTAAATAGGCCAGAAACATGTCCGCCGAGCTCATTAATAAAAGTCATACACTTAAAATATTATATATTAGAGGGGCATGAAGGCTACGGGGAATTAATGAAACTTTGCCACTTGCCATCAGGCAAGAACTCAACGCTTCCAGTTCTGAGAAATTTGGATGCAATCGGGTCCGAAAATGGTACTATTTAGCCGTTTTGCAGAGGGTGCATTTCAAAATGGCTTCTTTTCTGGGCAGGGACATTTCCTTCATTTAGGAGTGATCTGCTTTAAGTAAAAATTAATTTCAAAGAGATTAACTAAAAATACGGATCAACACATTTACGCTTCTTAACACCGTGTAAGAACCGAGTTTCTTCACCAGACACGTTTTGCCCTTCATAATTCCGAACACGCCATTTTGGAGGAGTGTTTTTTATTGCAAGTTAAAGAATACAGGCAGTATGTTCTCCTCACTGCAGCATTACATTTTATTGAGTAGAGCCTTTTTGTTTGCTTATTAACTGCCAAGGACAAGACTAATTGACAGTGTTTGGTTCGCAGGCAAGAGAGGATGACTGTATTTTGAATTCAGAAGTCGCTGGTGTAAGAAGGCCTGCAGTTGAGAGGGGTCATTCCCAGTAGCTGCCTTGAAAGGGAATGAAAAATGCTTTTGATATTTGAGCCCAACGTTTTTCTGACTGCAGCATCGGTGAACAGAAAGTGGGAATAGGATTGCCTCAACCTTTCCTGGTTGGCACTTTGATTTATTCGGAAATTTTGCTCATCGGTTGATTTTAACATAAGCAGAAGGGCAAAGCCAACGCTTTGTTTAGAGTTTCCAAGCGCAGACTGCGCGCTGCATATTAAACGAGGTAGTCGCGCATTTGAACAATGCAAGAATATTTGCAAACTGTTGCGTATGTGCAGCGCGTTGCACATTCCAGGCGCGTTGCTCGGTTTCCAGTAAGCAAGTAAACAAAAAGGCTGGACACAATATAATGTAAGATACTGCAGCGACGAGTA